AAGCCGAAATGTCACAATTAAGGAAGATACTGCTCTAACCTTGGGACTGCTCTTTCTCTGTTCTTTCAAAATATACTCCTGCATCTCTCCACAGATTGAGGACACCTGTGCTCCAGTCATTCTCATCCCCAAACTAACCCTATACACACCAGGAGAGGTGTATGATGTCTTATCCACAGGGACAGAAGGAACCAGAACAAAGAGGTCAGCCACCTTGGCAGTCCTGGTAGGAGTTAGCCTGGTGGCATCAGTGGCAGCCACAGGACTCGTGGCTGGAGGCTTGGGACACACGCTGATCTCAACCCAGCATCTTTCTCAAGAAATGGAGGACCTCAGATGGGAGCTCACTTCAACAGTGGAAACTACAGCCCAGTCAATCCAGTTCCTACAACAACAATTATCCTCCCTAGCTGAAGTTGCACTCCAGAACAGGCGAGCCCTGGATCTATTAACTGCAGAAAAAGGGGGAACCTGTATTTTTCTGGGTGAAGAATGCTGTTATTTTATCAACCAATCTGGTAAGGTCGAACATAATATAGAACAACTCCAACAGGTAGCAAAAAATCTTTCACTTAAAAATTCCCAGTACCAACAGTCATCTCAATGGGACACTTTTACAGGACTAACTCCTTGGCTTCTGCCGTTATTGGGCCCTCTGCTTTCTATCACTTTGGTGCTAACCATTGCTCTTTGCCTTGTCAGATATTTTCAGAACCAGATCCGAAAACTAACACATACTAATTTTAATCAGTTGTTACTTTCCTTCCCTTCACATGTATACGAACGCCTGTCAACCATTGAGGACCCTGTTCAGATGCATGGAGAGACAACTCCTGCTGCCTAGTGGACCCCTAAACCAGCCTACCCCCCACGTCGACCCTGTCCAGCAGGAAGTAGCCAGATGACAACGGCGCCCCCTATCCTATAACACAAAAGGCTGGAATGTTAGGGTCCCGAACAGCAGCAGCTCTGGGACCTACAGACTTTGGAGCCCGAAAAAGGGAACTTAGCTGATAAGCACCTTGACCTTTGAGGTCAAGAAGAACAAACTCTGCTGAGAAGCAGCCTGCCTCTCCTCTGATCTCCAAAGATAAGATAAGCAGATTCTACCTGTTAACCAGAGATTTTAGAAGCTGTTTATCACAACAAGCTTTTCTCTTATCTTAAGAGAGAAAAAGTAACCACTTCCAGACCCTAATCCTACCTGCTTTTCCTGCTTCCCCCTCCCTGATTTCTCCCCCAAACATTCCCCCCTTCCACACGCTGAAGCCCCCATATATAAAGTCCCAGCTCACAACCCCTGGGTGGACATCTTTCCCAGACATCTTTCCCTGATATCTTTCCCTTCCTGACATCTTTCCCTTCCCTTCCCTTCCCTTCCCTTCCCTTCCCTGACATCTTTCCCTTCCCCGAGGGAAAGGTGCCCCGTGCGAAATAAATCTGTATCCCGCTGAGAATTCTATCTGTGCCTCAGTGCCTCATCCATCCGCTCATGCTCTCCACCACCTGCTCGCTCTCTCCAACATTCCTATCTATCACTAAGGAAGTGTGGAGTGAGATTATAAAATAGAGAAGGGAAGTCTTTGGGGACTGACTGGAATGACTTCTGAGAAGGGAACTCCCATTGTTCAGTTTACCAACAGAGGGCACATTTGTGTCAATAACCAGATGCTCCCAAGCATAGTCTTAAAATTCCAAAGGGCAGGCCCAGGGCCAGAGGCTAAATAACCTGTCTTCACTTGTTTTGTTCTAGAAATTCAGTCATAGGAAATCAGATTTTGAGCTTCTTTAAAAAATTGGTATTGTACTTATTTAAATTTTATAAAAAATTTTATTTTATGAGTGTTTTGCCTTATGGATGTAAGTGTACCACATGCACACAGTTGGAGCCCCTGGAACTGCAGTTGACAGTTGTCAGATGCTATGTTGATGCTGGGAACTAAATTTGGGTCTTCTAGAAGAGCTGAACCATACCTCTAGGACCCCACACCTTTTAGTTTATTTGGTTGGTTTCGGTTTTGGTCTCACATAGCTCCAGCTTGTGTGGAACTATGTAGACCAGGCTTGCCTTAATATCACAGAGATCTGCCTGCCTCTGCCTCTCAAGTGCTAGGATTAAAGATGTGTGCTGCCGCCGGGTGTGGTGGCACAGGCCTTTAATCCCAGCACTCAGGAGGTAGAGGAGGCGGCTCTTTGTGAGTTCAAGGGCAGCCTGGTCTACACAGTGAGTTCCAGGACAGCTGGGGCTGATGAAATCAAACTAAAGCCCCCCCAGGTCAAAGTGGATTCAAACCAAGTCCCCCAGACCAAAGAAGAATATTCTGGGAAGCTGTACAAGGAAGTAAGATGTAAAATCTAACTGCTGAGAAAAAGCTGACCTTTTCATGCTCTGTGCACAAGCTGAAGATCACCCGAAACTTCCCCCTCCCACTGCTGCCGGTTTTGGTTTGTGGTTTTTGCCTTTAAAAGAAGCCTGTAAGCTGAGCTCTGGGCTGCTGCTCTCTCTCTCCAAGTGAGGCAGAAGCCCGTCTGCACAAACGATTAAATCCTCTTGCTTGTTGCATCTCCTGGTGTTGGGACTGAGTCATTGGGGTACGACCTTCCATGAACATTGGGCACCGCAGACCGGGGGCCCAACAGGGCTACAGGGAGACCCTGTCTCAAAAAGACCCCCTGAAAAAAAGTGTGCTGCCACGTCCAGGTTCTTTTTGTTTTTGATGGGAATATAGTAGTGATCATAAAATCTGCCTCTGGAGTGCTTGGATTTAAAGCGTGTACCACCATGCCCACCTGAAGTTACCTTTTACTATTTATGATTTTTCTTCTATGTCTTTCCTTGGGTTGGGAGGAAATGAAGAAGTACCAAAGATGAAAGGTCTAGAGCCACATCTGGTCTTGGAAGTCGCCACCTGCTGTGGCATGTAGGGAGGACTTTCAGCCCCTAACCTGAGTATGACAAGAATAGGATGGAAGAAAGGCATAGTCAGGAAGGGTGGAGGGCTCCCAGAGGGACAAGAGTGGATTCTGGCAGCATTAAAAAGCACTTTCTGGCCAGGCTTGGTACTGCACTTAATCCCAGCACTTGGGAGGCAGAGACAGGTGGATCTCTGAGAGTTCTAGGCCAGCCTGGTCTTCATAGTGAGTTCCAGGACAGCTGGGACTACAGGGAGACCCTGTCTCAAAAAAAAAGTGAAACAAAACAAAACAAAACAGAGGCTGGAGAGATGGCTCAGCGGTTAAGAGCACTGACTGCTCTTGCAGAGGACCCAGGTTTGATTCCCAGCACCCACATCGTGGCTACACGAACCATCCTTAACTCCAGTTCCAGGGGAATCTGAAGCCCTCTTCTGACCTCCTCAGCACCGCACGACACAGGTGCACTCACATACATGCAGGCAATACACTCGTACCCATAAAAAAAAAATAAATAAAATATTAAAACAGTGCCAGGCGTGGTGGCGCACACCTTTAATCCCAGCACTTGGGAGATGGAGGCAGGCAGATCTTTGTGAGTTTGAGGCCAGCCTGGTTTACATAGTGAGTTCCAGGCCAGCTGGGGCTACAAGGAGACCTTGTCTCAAAAAGACCAAAAACCACTTCCTGCAGACTAGTATAGTAGTTTAGTGGGAACAAGGGAGAGTGGTGGGGGAGGTAACTATGAAGCAAAGAACAATGTAATGTAAAAAATGTCATAAAGAAGGCTTTTATTTTATATACTTACTAAAAACTTTAATTTATCCCCCCCCCAAAAAAAAAACACTTCCCTAGCTGTACTAGAGCAGAGGTCAGAAGCACCGGGGTTCAGAACATGACTAGAAGGTGACAGAGGATCTGTGTGTTACTGCAGCTACTCAGACAAAAGAAAAGTAGGGAGGCAGACAGGCCTTCCTCATATTGCCCCTCACTGCACTGGGTTTGACTAACTTGGTTCCTTATCCTGCCAAGGTCTAGCCTTCTCAGAGAAAAGACCAAGCTATCCAGGAATTTTAAATGAGCAGGTCCACTGTGAGGACTTTCACTCTGTCTTCAAATATAGGGCCTTAATTCCACACACCCCCTCCCCCAAATACACACATGGGTCCCTCCAGCCCTGGCTTGGAATGACTCTGAGTGGCCCACAAAGCATGTTTTCTAGGTTCTCTTGCCCACTCTGAATTCCTAGCCCCCACTTACTGCCTGCTTCTTCTTTTCCTTTGTCTTCAATCCACCCCCCCAATCCTTTTTTTGGATCTCAGACTCAAGGTCCTAGAGGAGGGGAGATCTCTGATCTTTGGCTGAGATAGCCCAGTGAGAGAATCCCAGAGGCCTTTCTCCCTTTCCTGAATGTCTGGGCAAGGAGGGCAGGATCTTGGTTTCAGGGTCTCAGTACCCCCTGTGCCATTTGAGCTGCTTGTGCTCATCATCTCTATTAATAACCATCCTCCCTCCCCCACTGCCAGTGCTGCCCCTACGCTGCCCAGCTCAGGTTCTCAGGTCACAGCAGCTCAGTCCTTCAAAGCTGTTGGACCCCAGGGAGAGCTGACCACCAACTGAGCAGCAGGTAAGTCGGCAGCTCTATGGGGTGAAGGGCTAGAGCCCACTCTGTTGACTTCTGTGTCTGCAATTGTGATTCTTGATTCTGGGGGAGTGGCCTCTCTCCCCATCTCTGCTCAGCTCCCAGCTATCCAGTTCAGGGGAGCCACAGAATTAGAAAGAGAGAGCCTAAGAAGTCAGAAGGATGGAGGTATGTGGGGAAGTCCCCAATTAACTGAGAAGGGGGTCTGAGATCCCACTAAGCCTGTAGAGTTGCAGCTATGATTTTGAGACAGGAGGAGGTAGAGTCTGTATATTTTTTTCCCAGCTTGTTCCTATCCACAGCCAGATCTTATTACAATGTTCCTGAACTCCCTCATTTCACTACAGTCAAGAAATGTATGATATTGCTGAACTGACATGTGTCAGAGCTCAGCTCAAATGCCCCTGGTTCACTCTCCATTCCAACTCTGCAGCTTGGGGTGGGAGTGACTTGAAGGAGCAAGGAGTACACCATGACCTCGCAGGCCAGGTTCCAGTTGGCCCCAAGGAAGAACAACCTCTCCTTCCTATGGAGAATTTTTCTGGCTGAATCTCCTCAACACTGGCAGAACATTTCTCTACTCCCTTGGGCCTTAAGGGAAGACTAAGGAGAGGACAGACCAGAGCCTGGAGCCATAGCTGTAGTCTGATATCCCAATACAAATAAAGACTTCAAATCATGCCAGGTCCATGAATCCTGGTGCAATGCACTGCTTGTGTTGTCTTTTAAACATCCCCAGCCCCAGTTATGTTCCTGATTCTACAAAGGAACTATATAAAGCAATCCACAGGAAGTTGGTAGAAGATGGGGAAAGGGAGTGCTACTGTACCACCTGTTTTACTTCCAAGGAAAATAGAAACCCTAAAGCAGTTGAATTTTATCTTGGGAGAAAATGCACATTCCTGTGAAAACCTGAGGCAGGGGGCATAGCTTAGCAGTAGAGCGCTTGCATGATACGCATTAAAGCCTTGGGTTACATCATCAGCACTGAAAAAAAAAAAAAAAAGAAACAGAAAATCTGTTGAAATTAACTCCTTAACCCTAAATTAAGAAGTGCTCACTCTTCCCAGTCCCTGTCCATCCTTCAAACCTGCTTCCCACTCCATCCAGGTCAAATCCATCTCCACAATGCCGCTCTCAGGAACCCCAGCACCTAACAAGAGGAGGAAATCCAGCAAGCTGATCATGGAACTCACTGGAGGTAGGGCATGCTTGTGGCTACCTAATGTGGGATTAAGAGCATCCCTGACTCAAGAGTCCTGGAAATAACATAAGACTGAATATATTGGGGGGGCAAAAAAACAAGAGGAATCCCAGTGGTAAAGGGTGGGGCACAGGACTGAGAAGTAAGATGGGAAGGAGAAAGGAGCAGGAAGGACTCAATAGTTATTCATCTTCCTGCCCTTTTCACATTGTACTCCAAGATAACACCCTGCCATATTACTCAACACAGGTCCAGGACCACAGGACCCATAGCCAGTGAGGTATGTTTGAGGAAGAAAATAGGATGGAGACTGACACAAACTAGGCCTCAGCATATGGTTAACTTCCTTATTTTTTCCTCAGAGCTAAGGGACTGGTGTAAGTACTTAAAATAGGAAACTGTGCAGGCATGCTCCCTGGGGGTAAACATGAGTACATGCATGTGATCATTTCTCCCAATACCTCTGGAGCCAGAGTTCACTGAGGAAAAGAAAAGGGAAACGAGTTAAGACAGGAATCTGTATTTAGAGATAAGCACGGGATTGGCTAATCAACTTTCCCCTTGCTGTGGTTTTCCCAGTGCTGTGTCTATGATCCTTTTTTTTTTTTTTTTTTTTTGGTCTTTTTGAGACAGGGTCTCCCTGTAGCCTCAGCTGCCCTGGAACTCACTATGTAGACCAGGCTGGCCTCGAAATCACAGAAGATCCACCTGCCTCTGCCTCCCAAGTGCTGGGATTGTGGGAGTAAAGGCATGTGCCACGCCACCAGGCCTGGCGATGTTTTATACTTTTTATCCTCCACTCCATACTCATGTCCCTTGGACACTATTTGTCACTCTACTCTAGTATTCCAACTGTCTCTGCCCTGCATACTAGTTCCCTTGCATTGTCTCTAACTCCAAAGCAGGAAATTAAAACTTCTCATAATCTAGACAGACCACGGTCAGACATCACAGATAGTATCTGCCCTCTGAGGGATCTCTTCCAGGCCACATACTTAGACATGGGTGCTGTCTGCAGTTTGAGTCCAGAAAACCCTATTTTCCTCTTTATCTTGACTCTTGAAAGGAGGACGGGACAGTTCAGGTCTGAACTTGGGCAAAAAGATCAGTGTCCCTAGGGACGTGATGCTGGAGGAGCTGTCACTGCTTACCAACCGGGGCTCCAAGATGTTCAAGCTGCGGCAGATGCGGGTGGAGAAATTTATCTATGAGAACCACCCTGATGTCTTTTCTGACAGCTCAATGGTGAGTATGGAAGTCAACCACACTCTCAAAGTCCAGTGCCTTTTCTGGCAGCTTCTTAGTAGGCCCTGGACTTTCCAAATACCATCAACCTCCTCTCCCTGAAAAATTAAAAGCTCATTAAATCCCTTGATCTATTAAGTGCCCAACAGCTCTAGGGTGACTTACAGCCATTTCCAAAATTCAGTCCCCATCTTCCAGCCAGTGAAGGCATGAGGAATACTACACCCATAGCGAGAAAATTCCTTCCCAGTATGGGTAAGTGTTAAAATAGGGTTGCCAGATAAAACAGTCCTGTGTTTGAAGTTAAGATACACAGTAATTTTTCAGTAAAGTATGTTCTTTGCAATATTTGGGACATAAAAAATAAAATACAATAACAATTGTATAACAGAATTGTTCCCAATAACAGAATACTGGGACCGAATTTGTAGTTCAGTGACAGATACTGGGTTCCATCTCCAGCATCAAAAAAACCAAATAGCAAACAAACAAAAATCTGGAGTACTCAGTTTGATCTTTGGGTTTATACACTGATCTGGGAGTGGTGGCTCATCCCTGTAATCCCAGGAGGCTGAGGCAGGAGGACTGCTCATGAATTTGAGAAAGGTTTTTATAATAGTTTTTTTTTTTTCCTGTATGTTCCCCATAGCATTAGGAACATAAAAACAATATAAGATATCCACTTAAATTTGATTTTTTTTGGGGGGGGCAGGGTTTCTATAGTCCCAGTTGTCCTAGAACTCATTATGTAGATCAAACTGGCCTCAATATCATAGAGATCCACCTGCCTCTGCCTCCTGAGTGCTGGGATTAAAGGCATGCATCACTGTGCCTGGCCATGAATACATTCTTAATATATGCATATGTCCCATTCAATATTTATACTAAAAATATTGTTGTATACCTGAATGTTAAATTTAAGTGGTGCCCTGGAATTTTATTTGCTAAATCTGGTAATTCTTCTAGGAAGAATTTGAATGTTTATAGTCATTTTCTTTTTGAATCATTCTTTTTGTGGGGGAATCCTTAAGGGATCCCAAACAAGGCATCTAAAATGATGTTTCTTTTTTTCTTTTTTGATCTTTTTGAGACAGGGTCTCCCTGTAGCCCCAGCTGTCCTGGAACTCACTATGTAGACCAGGCTGGCCTTGAACTCACAGAGATCCGCCTGCCTCTGCCTCCTGAGTACTGGGATTAAAGGTGTGTGCCACCATGCCCTGCTAAAATGATGTTTCTTTAAGATCATACATTTTTTCTTTTCTTTCTTTCTTTTTTTTTTGTTGTTGTTGTCTTTTTGAGACAGGGTCTCCTTGTAGCCCTGGAACTCACTATCTAGACCTGGCTGGCTTTGAACTCACAAAGATCTGCTTGCCTCTGCCTCCCAAGTGCTGGGATTAAAGGCCAGTGCAACCACACCCGGCCAAGACCATACATTTTCTAGTTAGGCTTCTTCTGCAAAGAAAGAGAAGTAGGGACTGGAGAGGGGCCAGGCACAGGATGTTACAGCTGAGGAGGAAGAGACCTTCTCCAGTTCCTTTCTTTTTCTTCCACCTTCTCTGGGTGGCTGAGGGACAGTGGAAATAGATGCCCACATGGATCGGCCAAGGCAGGAGTGTCTGTCATTAGCCCTTATGTAGGAGCAAATAAAAATGCTGAGTGCGTCATACCTAACTTTAGGAGGCCGAAGCCCTCCTTTCTGCTGGGTCTGGTTACAACTGGGTGGAGCATGGGGGTATACATGGGGAGATGGCCAGGAACGCCTCCTCAAGGAGTTGGCAGGGTTATTTTTAGGCTTTGGGGCTGAATACAATGTTGCCCTTTTGGTTACCCTCCCCCTTCACCTGCTACAGTTTCACTGTCAGGAAGTTCTGGTCCAATAGGCAACCAAGAGGACAGAAGAGGAGGAAGAGGAAGAGAGAAGGTGCCCTGACTGTTGGACACATGAGGAAGAGAGGAGACAGAGATCATTCTGTTTTTTTCAAATTAAGATTGGTTTCTTCCAGGCAACTCATCCTTGCAAGTTTTAGTTGAAGAAATGTCCTGGTTTCCTTTGCCTTGTCAAAGATAGGAAAGGGGAGTGGAGGATGAGCTGCCTCACCCTAAGGCATAAGGAGGGAACTAAACCTCTTCAGGAAAATAATTCCTCTCAGGCCTATAATCCTCTATGCATTTATTAGAGATGTCTTGGAGATTCGGGGTCTTCTGGGTGGCCCTTGTCTCTACTCACCTCATTTTTATACATTCTTCTGTCTTTGTGTATTTTCCACACCTATTGTTAACCTTCCCCCTGCTTTGAACTTTCTTTTTAGGATCACTTCCAGAAGTTTCTTCCCACAGTGGGAGGACAGCTGGGTACAGCTGGTCAGTTTTCCTACAGCAAGGGGAGCAGTGGTGGAGGCCAGGCAGGGGGCAGTGGCTCTGCTGGACAGTATGGCTCTGACCACAACCATCATCAGGGCTCTGAGTCTGGAGCTGGGGGTGCAGGTGGTCCTGGGGGCCAGGCTGGCAAAGGAGGAGCTGCTGGTGCAGCAGGAGTTGGCAAGCCAGGATCAGGCAAGTACTCTCATCAAAAAATAATGCATCTGGTCTCTAGAGCAGAAATGTCCCCAGGAATGATGCCTGGTTTGGATATGGGGAGAAGGGAAGCAAGCAGAGATATCTTGGATCTAGAAGGTGTCCAGAATATAGGGATGCATCTATTCTGCCCACAAACCTTTTTAGATTCAGTCACAGATCTGACCCTAGACTATCCTTATACAATTATACAATGTCTGACCCTAGACAAACCTTATACAATTCCCAGGATATACCACTTCTGGTCCCTAGACCCAACAACTTCCCTAGTGCCAAAGAATGGGATTAACTTTCATTAGCTAAGAGCTGCTATAATTTGATTTACTTTTCTCTCCCATGGATACCAGGTGACCAGGCAGGCGGAGAAGGAAAACATGTCACGGTGTTCAAGACTTATATTTCCCCATGGGATCGGGCCATGGGAGTTGACCCTCAGCAAAAAGTAGAACTTGGCATTGACCTGTTGGCATATGGGGCCAAAGCTGAACTTCCCAAATATAAGTCTTTCAACAGGTAGGGTAGTAGGAAGACACCTAAATGTATTCCACTGTGTGGTTCTGTGTCCTCATTTGGCTTGGGACTTTAGTTCAAATATTTCAGGAGACTGAGGAGGGATGGCAGGAATATGGGACCTTAATGGAGGAAGGCCTTTGCTTTTTACCTCTAACTCAGCTTCTTCATTAGCAGTGAGATAAAGGAAAAGTTTGTTGGAAAGCAAGATTTCTCTGCTGGTTTGTAGGTTGTTAGCAGTGTGGGCTTGGGAAAGTCATCCTGCTCTTCTGAGCCTAAGATGGGAATTGAAGGCTTCTGGCTCTCTTCTGTTAAAAGTCAAGTTACCATTACTCTCCCTATAGTATAACTCTATTTCCTTATACTCTGCTCTAAGTAACTGTTCTTTTCGAATGGGGCACTCTAGACCATGGATAGGAGATCCCTGTGAAAGCAGAGTAAGGAAGGCCTACAGAGGTGCTTTTGTATTCCACTGTTAATTCCTCTGCCAGATCATCCACTATCCATTTGGGATAAGGGTAGAATTGGAGGGGTTGGATATACATTGTAATTTAGGTGAGCTCAGATTGTTGGGTCTATAGTATTTGAGGTCACTTTTTCTAAGTGTAGGTCACAAGTATCTGTGAGACTACTACCCACTAGACTCCTTTTCTCACTACTAACTTTGGGGACATAAGCAAGCCAGGAAGGGAAATAGGGTACTAAAGGAAAAGAAGAACAAGTAGTGCAGAAGCAACTTCAAACTACAATTCTAGACTCCCCCTTCCTTGAAACCAGGCAGTATCTCACTGATAAGGTAAAGTTTCTTTGGTTCTGATTCTTAATTATATAATATCCCCCTTCAGGACAGCAATGCCCTATGGTGGATATGAGAAGGCCTCCAAGCGCATGACCTTCCAGATGCCCAAGTTTGACCTGGGGCCTCTGCTGAGTGAACCCCTGGTCCTCTACAACCAGAACCTCTCCAACAGGCCTTCTTTCAATCGAACACCTATTCCCTGGTTGAGCTCTGGGGAGCCTGTAGATTACAACGTGGATATTGGCATCCCCTTGGATGGAGAAACAGAGGAGCTGTGAGGGGTTTCCTCAAGGAATTAGCATCATTTCCCCTCTCTGGTTCCAATTTGGAGAGGGAGTGCTGAACAGGATGCCGCTGCTGTTATTCCAGTATCCTTGTGGCAACAGAGGGAAAGAGGCGGGAGAGATTTGCCTTTCAGTCCTTCACTCCAACTCCCCGCTCCAAAGCATCCCTCCTCACTAACTCCGAGCTCCTATTCTATTTGTTCCATATGGAAATTGTTCTTTTATGGAATTTTCTCTGCCATCAGTCAATAAACTTCAAGAAAATGAACTCATTCTTCCTCTCATATCTGAGGGCAGATGAAAGCTGAAGCTAACAATGCACAAAGACCAATTAGGGCTAAATAGTAAACACTCATTATTCAGACTTTCACATCAGACCTGAGCTCTGCATACCCACACCCACATCCACACCCACAAAACCACATTCATTAGGTATATACAAAGACATATTATTCAATAATGACATATTAGTCAATAGAATTTATTCAACAAATTCTCATGCTGACCCTGGTACATGCAGACAAAGCTAAGAAGCTACTGCATAGCGTGGTTAGGAAATGCTGGTAACACTAGTCTCTCTATGTAGCTAATCAGAGGTTGTGAAACAAACAAACCAGGAGAGGAAAATGGGCTGTTAAGGAAGAAGTAAAAGTTACTTGGATTCTTCACAGAAACAGTTCATGTCTGAAGTTTCTAGACAGAATAAATGAATCTAGAATGATTTTAGGAATATATATGTGAGAGGTTATAGATTCCCAAAAGGATGAAACAGAACACCATATGGAATCCAGAAAGAAGCAGGTGAACCCAGCTCTAGTGATAGTCCGTTTGGTTCTGTGTGAGCACAGCAAGAGGAGGTCTGAGGGACACAGGGAGATAACAGTGGTGTCCACTGCAGAAAACATGAAAGTTTAAGTAGGAATTAGTAGAAATGCTCTGTTTAGCTCAAATTTAGGGTCCCTTTAGAATCTCAGGCTTACTCTTATGTTCCACAAAGACCAGGAAGAATAATGTGATGACAAAGTCAGGAAAATACTTTTTTCTTTCTTGGTGTTGAGGATTGAACTCAGGACCTCATGACAGTTAGGTGAGTATTCTACCTCTGATCTACATCTTCAGCCCTGGCAGAATAACTTCTAAGGAGAATGAGCTGATTCAGCTAACCCATGATCTGTTGATAGATTGTTGCTATACTTTGGATTGATCAAATTTTGGTGGACCTTGGTGACATATTTACCCTGGTCACCTTCAGTTACAACCTACAGAATGTATTATGGAGGATTCAAGAGCCTGGGGATGTAGCTCAGCTAGACTGCTTGCTGAAAACTAAACACAACTAAATCTAAAATGAAGTAGATTTTCAAGTTTGGATGTATCCTGCCCCCTCCAAAAGGATCATGAAATAAGTATTTAGATGCAAGTAGTTAATTTGGAAGATATTCCAGAAATCCAAGCAGCATAAGCAAATGAGAAGAAAGTCAATAATGGGTGCTTTGGGTAACTGGGGCTAAATCCCACTGGAAGTCTCAGAGAATAATGCTACTCAAAGAATCTCTGTGACTGGCAGTATCAGTATCTTCTAGGAGCCTGATTAGAATTGCAAAGGATAAGGCTGGAGAGATGGCCCACAGTTAAGAGGGCTTACTCATCTTGCAGAAGACCCAGGTTTGGGTCCCAGGACCTGCACAGTGACTCACAGTCAGCAGTAACTCTAGTTCCAAGGGATCCAATGCCCTCTTCTGGCTTCCATAGGCACCAAAACACTCATACACCTAAAATAAAAATAAACATAAATCTTTGTTTTTAAAAATTATTATTTTTATTTTATGAGTTTGTGTGTATTGTTCGCATGTATGTAAGTGCACCTGTATCAGGCCATGCCCATGGAGGTCAGAAGAGAAGAGGGCATCAGATTCCCTGGAACTGGAATTATGGATAATTGTTAGCTGCCATGTGGGTGCTGGGAATCAAACCTGGGTCCTCTGCAAGATCAGCCAGTTCTCTTAACTGCTGAGCCAGCTCTCCAGCCCCATAAACATAAATCTTAAAGAGAAAAAAAGAATTGCAAACTCTTAACTAGTAGCTCACTCCTGCCTATAATTTTAGTACTTGGGAGGCAGAGGCAGGAGGATCACTGCAAATTAGAGGCCAGCCTAGGTACAGAATTGAGTTCCAGGCCAGCCAGGGCTACATAGCAAGACCAATTAACATTTTTTTTTTCCTTTGGTCTTTTTGAGACAGGGTCTCCCTGTAGAACCAGCTGACCTGGAACTCGCTATGTAGACCAGGCTGGCCTTGAACTCACAGAGATCTCCCTGCCTCCACCTCCCAAGTGCTGAGATTAAAGGCATGTGCCACCATACCCAGCTAAAATAAACAATTTTTAAGTGTGAAATTGCACACTGAGGGCTGGAGAAATGGCTCAGCAGTTAAGAGCACTGACTGCTCTTGCAGAGGACCTGGGTTCGATTCCCAGGACCCACTATGAACCACCCTTAACTCCAGTTCCAGGGGAATCCAACACCCTCTTCTGACCTCCGCGGCATTGCATGACATGGGTGCACTCACATACAGGCAGACAATACACTCGTACACATAAAATAAAAATAATAAGTAAAATATTAAAAAAAATTGCACACTGTTTGCCTGGTATGGCGGCACATTGCCTTTAATCCCATCATTCAGGAGGCAGAGGCAGGTGGATCTCTGTGAGTTCAAGGCCAGCCTGGTCTCCATAGCAAATCCAGGTCAGGTGGGGCTACAGGGAGACCCTGCCTCAAAAAGAACAACAACAAAAATATTGCGCACTGTTCTACTAGCATGATGAAAATTCATACTGATCTATTCCATCTCCCTAGATATGCTTTTTTTTCGGGGGGGTCTTTTTGAGACAGGGTCTCCCTTTAGCCCCAGCTGGCCTGGAACTCACTATGTAGACCAGGCTGGCCTTGAACTCACAGAGATTCACCTGCCTCTGCCTCCCGAGTGCTGGGATTAAAGGCCTGTGCCACCACACCAGCAGTTGTTCTATTTTTTTGCTATATTTAATACTTTATTGTTAATCCAGTTCTGTCTCTATAACTTAATCATTTTTGTGGTGCTGGGGTTCAAACCCAGGATTTCATGAATTTTAAACAAGTGCTCTACCACTAAGCTATACCAGCTCTAGAAATTAAAACTATATCATAGATATGCAAGTATAAAAAAATAGTATATTCAGTGTTTGGTACTATCTGCAGCTTCAGGCGCTTAGTGGGGGCCTTTAGAACATAGTTCCAGGTAAGGGAGAATACTATATTAGATATTCTGAGATAGGAGCTCTGAGATTGTGCCAAAGTTGAAATATTCTTTGGGGTGGGCTGAAGTAATGTGGGTAGGACAGAGATAGATTTGGATAGAGTTCTTCTTACTTTTATTATATTCTAAGGTCCGTAGGATTAGAGTGCCTCCCCAGTAAGGGTTAAGGATTATAGTCCTGGGGCTGGAGAGATGGCTCAGTGGTTAAGAACACTGGCTGTTGTTGTAGAAGACCAGGGTTTGAATCCCAGCAACCACATGGCAGCTAACAACTGTCCATTACTCCAGTTCCAGGAGAGCCAATGGCCCCTTCTGTCTTCTGAGGGCATTGCACGACAGGAATGCAGTTACACATATGCAGGCAATACATGCATACACATAAAAATATTCTTTAAAAAGGATTGTAGTCTTGTTGTTTTATTAAGACAGCATCTCGCACTTGGGAGGCAGAGGCAGGCGGATCTTTGTGAATTCAAGGCCAGCCTGGTCTACATAGTGAGTTGAGGGCAGCTGGGACTACATGGAGACCCTGTCTCAAAAAAAAAGACAAAAAAAAAAAAAAAAAAAAAAAAAAAAAAGACATCACATGTATCCCAGGCTGCCTGGAACTTGAAAACAACTTCGGTTGACCTTGAACTTTTTGGTTTTTTTTTTTGTTGTTTTTTTTCTCTTTTTGAGATAGGGTCTTCCTGTAACCCCAGCTGGCCTAGAACTCACAGAGATCCAAGTGCCTCTGCCTCCCAGGTGCTGGGATTAAAGGCGTGGCGTGCCACCACACTTGGCTGAATTTCTCAAATTTAAAACACAATAAAAAAAATCATGAAAAAAGCCAGAATGGGTGTGAAATTATTTCTTTTGTAGGCAAGTCTACATAGACGACAAACTATGTTCAGAAGTTGCAGTGTTGGCAGTGCATGAAAGTGGACATTTGTACAGTATCCAGACAGAAATTTCATCATATTCTCAAGTTTTACTACCCCTCTATCATGAGTTTAAATAAATGTGTTATCTGTAGCCAGGCACAGTGATGCATGCCTGTTAGCCCAGAATTATAGAAGAGGCAGAAAGATTTTAAGATTGAGTCCAGTCTGGGACATAGAATTCAAGATTGTCTGAGTTACATAGTAAGACCATGTTTCAAAATCTCAGGCTGGGCTGGCAAAATGGCCCAGCAGATAAAGGTGCTTACCTCGAAGCCTAACTTGTGTTCTAATCCTGGGACCCTTGGTGGAAGGAGACAATGGATTTCTCCAGGTTGCCTTTGTACATGCTCCCACCCCCATGGAATAAATCTTCATTGACAAAAATTAAAAACATTAGTCAGAAAATTCCCTGCAAACTAAGGGCTGAGTACGTAACCCAGTGGTGGAGGGCTTGTATAGCATGTCCAAGTCTCTGGGTTCTATATCTATCACCACAAAAAAGTGTTTTCTTCCTAGATGTCTTGTGTGTGTGTGTGTGTGTGTGTGTGTGTGTGTGTGTGTGTTTTGACAGGGTCTTGCTATGTAACCCTGGTTGGACTAGAAGTCCTGCTGTAGAACAAGTTGGCCTGGAACTTGTGGTGATCCTCCCTACTGTGCCACCACACCCAACTTTATTACTATTTTTATTGCGATGCTGAGGACTGAACTTGGGTCGTTGTGCATACATTTATCACTGTTTTAAAACTCAGAAGATAGTCTTTTCAGATAGGAGTTTGTAATTCTAGTGCGTTCTAGTAGCCACTATCTGTGGTTTTATACAAGGTTATCTTTTATTGTTAATTACAATTAAAATCTGCAGCCATCTGAGTTAGTAATTTAAAGGGTCTCTTCTTCATAAATCATATCCATAGTACAGCTCTGAGTAGATTGCTCATTCAATATTCAGAAACTAAGTCTGCTGTACAATAGCTGCATGTGACTACTGAGCACTTGAAATGTTTCTGGTTGGAATTGAGATATGATATAAATACAAAATAAATACTGGGTTTTGAAAACAGTATAAAGGAAAAAAAAGGCTAGATGTAGCAATATATACCTTTAATTCCAGGACTTGGGAGGCACAGGAAGGCAGATCTCTGTGAATTTGAAGCCAGCCTGGTCTACATGAGGGTTCCAGACCAATCAGGGCTAAATAACGAGATCCTCTCTCTCAAAAAAAAAAAAAAAAAATCTTAATGCCGATTATAAATTTAAATGGTATTGTGCACGTTTGGTTAAACAGAAAATATTACTAAAATTTATTTCATTTGTTATGTCAAGTGGAAAATTTAAATTGCAGAATGTGGCTAGTCATATTTTCTACTGGACAGAACTAGTTTAAACTGAAGCACCTACTCAGGGGTTTCAAGAGAAGAAAATCAATTCTTTAAAATTACTCTTCCTTTGTTACCTTTGTTTTTTCATTCTTGTTGACCAACATTCTTTAAATCCTTCTGTCTTAGGGGTTTGCTTTTAGTCTGCATTTGCAGTTTGAGTCGGGTGTGGTGGTGCATGCCTTTTGCACTAGCACCTGGGAGGCAGAGGCAGGCCAGTTTGGTCTGTACAGCAAGTTCCATGGCAGCTGGGCTACAGGAAGACCCAAACCAAACCAAAAACCAAACCAGTTGCTTGAGAGTAAACAGTGCTTTCTTTGTTCTGAGAGCCACTAAGGATGTGTTCACAGGCCAGCAGGCAACAAGTGCAATGTATAAATCACACATTAAGAATCCCTTCTGGGGCTGGAAAGATGGTTCAGCGGTCACGAGAACTGGCTGGTCTTGCAGAAGACCTGGGTTCGGTTCTCAACACCCACATGGCGGGTAAGAACCAGTGGTCTGTAACTCCAGTTCCAGGGGATGGAAGCCCTCTTCTGACCTCCGCGGGCATTGCGTGGCACCGGTACACTTACACACATGCAAGCAGTACACTCATAGACATAAGGGGGAAAAAAAGGATTCTGGAACTTTGCATCCCAAGGCTGAGCACCTATACAGTGGGTGCTTCTTGTGAGTGGGGTGGGGGATGCGTGGGCTATCTTAGTCTCGCAACCTGATGAGGCGGGGCACCTGGGATAAACTTTATGGGAAGGTCAACTTCGGGCCTGCCTGATCCATGTCCACTTACTAGACAGCGAGATGGGACAAGTCCGGAAAACGGAACCTCAGCTACAGGGAACACAGCTCCAAGTAGGAGGAGGGAGTGTGGGGAAGGGACCATCCCTATTTATCCCGGTTCACGGTTCCGGGCCGAAGCAACCCATCCACCCGCCCTCGCTCGTGGGTTCGCGGACTCAGTCAATTTCAGCCCCGCGCCGCCCGCTTCCCACATTCAATTCGCCCAGCGGCCACCGCCATCTTACAGGGCATTATCGCGAGATAGCTGCAGCCTTTGGGCTGCCGACTTTCCTGCGATTCACAGTTCTCGCCGGCGCTGAAGGAAGTATCGCGAGAGCTGGTTGCCTTGGCTCCCTGTAGCTATAGCAGCCGCGGCGGTTAAGGATACGACGGCGGGAGCGGTGAGTGCGACACTCTCAGGGGGGCGGGGCCGGCGGGAACGGGGTGCAGGGGGAGTGCTGGGGGGTGCGGAAGGTGGGGTCTCGCGGAGCTGCACCCCTGAGTCCCGTGGGCTTAGGGACCGGGCACCTTTCACTCTGGGGAGCTCGCGGGGGGGAGGGCTGGCCGTCCGGAGGTCCCGAGGGGAGGGACCCAGCTGTAATTGGGTTCAAGGGGCAGGGGCCCAGCGGGGGTGGGGGAGGGGTGGAGTACTGAAGGGGTGGGTGTCGGTAGCTGGCAGGGTAAGGAGCGGGATAAAGGGACTGAGCTGCCTCGGAGAAGTGGAAGAAATGGGGGTATTACGAGCAGGAGGGTATGTTGAATGGGGGCAAAGCGTTGGGCCAGGTTGTGTTGACTGCTTGGGGTGGGATAGAAGAGAGAGGGTCAGACTTTTGTAACCTCCCCTCATTCCCCCACCCCCTCCAGCCTCGCCTAAGGCTGGACCCGGCCAGCCAGCCTGCACCTGGGTCCTCTATGGCATGGCGGGAATGGTGGCGTTCCGGATCCTCACCGCCTCCCTTTTCGCCTTTCCAAGAAATACTAAATGAAGGAACATTGACTTGTGAAAGAGGAAGACCTGGTGAACTAGTAGTAGTTGGAGTGGTTCTTTCAGCTTGAGAGACTATGGTAGGGTAGTGAGAGACTGCTGCTCTAAAATAAAACGGGGTCGGGGCGGGAGAGAGAAATTCTTGATTAAAGAAAACAAAAACAAAACAACCCTGAGATGTGCTTCCTCTGGAACGATTTTGAATCGAAAGAAAGGGGTGTGTGCTCACACCTCGTTTCTTTCCAGATTCATTCAAATGTAGAGTTCCTTTTCGGTGTGCTTAAGATATTATACATTCAGTGTAAAATCAGTTGAGATGATATATCAAAATAATGTAAAACTTTCACAAATAATAACTTAAAAAGCCAGAAAAGTGTTTCTACTGCAGAAGGATGCTGAACACTTAAGTCTAGAGATAGCTACTTGGATATAAAACCTAGTGTTTCCAAAGTGTGACTATTTACATTATTTGTCTTTTAGGAAATAGATTTTATTTTAGGAGACAATAAAATTTGAATATCTGAAAATAAAAGCAGTTTCTCAGGAGTTGAAATTACTGAGGGAAAAATATGTACCCTTTGAATCTCTAGAGTTGTTTTCTGGAACTGGCTTGGACCTTTGCTGGTTAATTCATTTCTAGTGAAAAACCGTTGCCTCGTGGCAGGGGTAAAAATAATTTATCAGTTTTAATCTACAGATACAAGCTTTCTAATCATTTGTCTCTTTTTTTGGGTATAAATTTGAAAAGGATAACTCTTCTTGTGATTATGTAACTGGATTTTGCCATACTGAGATTCACAAATTAATTAGAATAATGGCTTTTAAATCTTGAGCTAGCTTAGATGTGGTCATAGACTCCATTTATTTGACATGTATTAGAGTAAAACTTTTAATTGGTTGCTAGTTAAATTAAAAAAAAATTTTTTTTATTATTTTTATTTTATGTGTATGAGTGTATTGCCTGCATGTATGTGAGTGCACCCGTGTCATGCATTGCCTCGGAGGTCAGAAGAAGGCGTCAGAAGAGGGCGTCAGATTTCCCTAGAACTGGAGCTAAGGACGGTTCATAGCTTCCATGTGGGTGCTGGGAATCGAACCCAGGTCCTCTGCAAGAGCATTCAGCTCTTAACCACTGCTCCATCTCTCCAGCACCACGCTTTAAATTTTAAAGTAAAAATTCTTTCGTAGCTGGGCATGGTGGCACACAGCTTTAATCCCAGCACTCGGGAGGCAGAGGTAGGCAGATCTCTGTGAGTTCAAGGCCAGCCTGGTCTACATAGTGAGTTCCAGGCCAGCTGGGGCTACAGGGAGACCCTGTCTCAAAAAGACCAAAAAGAAAAAGAAAAAATGGTTTCGTGAGGCAAGCTAAAGCAATGTGTGGTAGCTGACCAAAAGAATTTCTGCATGAATCCAATAAGGTTCACTGTTTTGTGTGGAGTACTGTGTAAGGTATTGCAGGGGGAAAGATTACTTTATACAAAGTTCTTTATACAAAGAACATTTATTGAAACCTATTTAGTTTTGAAGTCCTGAGGATACCAAAGCCTCAAGGACACAAACAAAAGTAAAACTCGAGCTCTCCCTTTATTTGCTCAGAACTTAGGTCTGGGAGCCCATAATGAGACATAATTACATTGTAGTAAACACAGTATATGAACACCTGAGTATGAAACCAGGTTCTGTCCTTGTGATTACATAGTTTTGTTTTTTTAAAAATTTCATTATTTTTATGTGCATGTGTGTATTGCCTGTATGTAGGTAAGTGCACCTGTGTTGTGCAGTGTCCTCGGAGGTCAGAAGAGGCTGTCGGATCCCCTGGGACTGGAGTTATGGACATTTGTTAGCTGCCATGTGAGTGATGAGCTTTGAACCCGGGTCTTCTGCAAGAACAACCAGTGTTCTTAACTGCTGAGCCATCTCTCCAGCCCCTGTGATTCCTTTTTTTAAAAAAAATTTATCGAAGTGGAGTGATTCTAAAAAATGAAATGGGCACAGCGGCACATGCTTACAGTATTAACTGCTTGTGAGGTTGAGGCAGAAGGATCACTTAAGTCTGGGAGTTCCATAGCAGCCTGGCACAACCTAGTGGGACCTGACTCAAAGAAGAAAACCTAGGGTTGGGCCAGGGACATGACTCTGGGTAAGAGCGCTTGCTGCCAAGCCCAACAACTCTTAACTACATTGTGGAAGAAGAGAACCAACTTCATAAAGTTGTCTTCTGACCTGCCTGTGGTTACTGTGGCACATGCATACAATGTACACCTATAAATGTAGAAAAGTACTGAAAAACCAGCCAGGTGTTGTGGCACACACCTATAATCCCAGCACTCAGGAGGTAGAGGCAGCTGGATCTCTTGAGTTCAAGGCCAGCCTGGTCTATATAGCAAGTTCCAGGCCAGCTGGGGCTACAGAGAGACCCTGTCTCAAAAACAGAAAAGACAAAAAAAACCTCCAAAAAACTGAAAACCTGGGATCTGGGGATGTAGTTCAGTTGTTGGTAGGATCCTTGCTTAGCATGAACAGGATCCAGGTTTCAATTCTGCACACTATAAACAAAAGAGGAAAGAGTCTGTTCTTTGGTACAGGCCTTAGTTTTGGTATTGAGGTAGGGGAGACGTTAAGTTGGAGTTGTCCAGGAAATCAGAATTCAAGGGGGTGACTGGGAGAGTATGCATTTATGGAAGAGGTATCTCTTCATAGGTTTTTCTCCCTCAAATATTTACACATGAGAAACTAATTCGAATATTAGCATAATGCTAAATATGAGGCTTATATTGTTATAGAGAGAATTGAATAAATTACCACATTCATGCTGTGTATAATTGTATAGGGAGCTATGCTTGGGAAAATAGTTGTAACAAGCAGTTATTAACATTTGTAAGCTTCCAGAAAGTGATCATTTTAGTAGTGGAAATGGTTATTTATCTATATTCGTAAATAGGGATTTTAAATTTGATATTTTAAATTTTTATTTCCTGGACTGTAGATTTGCACATGGCCTAGTCTGGTCTATGTGTCTCTGGGTACTATAAACTGACCCTCCTGCCGCCATGTTTCAAGTCCTGGCATTACAGTGTGTGCCACCACACTGGCAAATTGTAAAGTTTATTTTTCTGAACTTAAAAACATTTTATATGTAGTCATTTATTTTAGAATGAGTGAGTGTGTATAAATGCAGGTGCGGATGTGCCATGGCTCATGTGTGGAGGTTAGAGGACCACTCTTGGGAGTTGATTCTCTCTTGCCATTGTGTTTGATCCATAGAGCGAACTCAGGTAGATCATCAGGCCTGTATCCAAGTGCCTCTACCTGCTGAGCTTTCTTGCTGACCATATTATATTATATTATATTATATTATAATTATTTTGTTTTTTTGAGACAGGGTCTCCCTGTAACCCCAACCGGCCTGGAACTCACTATGTAGACCAGGCTGGACTTGAACTCAGAGAGCCACCTGCCTCTGCCTCCCAAGTGCTGGGATTAAATGCATGCACCACCACTCCCAGCTCTTTATTTTCATTTTTAAAACTGTGTGTATGTGTACATCTGTGTGTGGGTTTATGCACATGTGTACAATGCCCTCAGAGGCAGGAAGGTATGGAGCTGGAGTTATAGGTGATTGTGAGCTGCCGAATGTGGGTGCTGGGAACCGAACTCAGGTCCTCTGCAAAAGTAGCCAGTGCTCTTAACCTCTGAGCCATCTCTCCAGACCCTGTTTAATAATCTTTTAGTTATTTTAATATTTTATTCTTTGAGAATTTCATATATAAATTTTTTTTTGGTCTTTTTTTTGAGACGGTCTCCCTGTAGCTCCAGCTGTCCTGGAACTCACTATGTAGACCAGGCTGGCCTTGAACTCACAGAGATCCACCTGCCTCTGCCTCCTGGGATTAAAGGCGTGAGCCACCACCCCCGGCTTGAGAATTTCATACATTTTGATCCTGTTCCCTCCCTATTCCTACCCCAACTCTTCTCACCCCTACCTCCCTAACCCCTTCCAACTTTGTCTTTTTTTTTTTTTTTTAAATAACGCACTGAAATGACACTAAAAATAACATGATTTGTGTTGCCCATAGCTCATGGGTGTGGGGCCATCCACTGGAATGTGGGTGACCTATAAGAAGCCACACCTGAACTGTCTCATACAGTCTTCCCTTTTTTCTGCAATGGGCCCTCAGCCTTGAGAAGGGGTGGAGGTGTTATAAGCGTACTGTGACTGAGCACTCCATAGACACTTAGTCTCTGCTTATTTAATAATTTTTATAGGATGAGTTATAGATGCCTTCAACTAATTTTGAGAAACCAGTGTTGTCAAGAAACTATGGATAAAGTGTAAACTGATAACTGACTTCTATATTGTGTTTATACTTCCAACTTAGAACAAATGCATTCAGATATTTTATCCAAGTGCCTCTTGTATTTGGTTTGCTGTATTACTGTTTGATTTTTCTGTTTCTAGCTGTATCACTGGGCCATTTTACGGTTTTTGTTTTGTTCTTTTTTAATATTTTATTTATTATTATTATTATTGTCTTTTTGAAGCAGGGTCTCCCTGTAGCTCCAGCTGGCCTGGAACTCACTATGTAGACCAGGCTGGCCTTGAACTCACAGAAATCTGCCTGCCTCCGCCTTGTGAGTGCTGGGACTACATGTGTGCGCCACCACGCCCAGCTTGTTATTTTTATTTTATGTGTATGAGTGTATTGCCTGCATGTATATGAGTGCACCCGTGTCGTTCAGTGCTGCAGAGGTCAGAAGAGGGCATTGGATTCCCCTGGAACTGGAGTTAAGGATGGTTTATGGCCGCCATGTGGGTGCTGGGAACAAACCCAGGTCCTCTGCAAGAGCAGTCAATGCTCTTAACTGCTGAGCCATCTCTCCATTCCCTATTTTGTTCTTGTTTTTGCTTTTTTGTTTTTGGCTTTCTGAGACAGGGTCTCCCTGTAGCCCCAGCTAGCCTGGAATTCAGTATGTAGACCAGGCTGCCCTCGAACTCTCAGAGATCCACCTGCCTCTGCCTCCCAAGTGCTGGAATTAAAGGTGTGTGCCACCATGCCCCTTAAAATTTATTTTTATTTTA